GTTGTTTGTTCTCAAGACATTATTGCTTCAAATAGAGAGAGTGCTGTTTTGTCTGCTCTCACTCGCCATCCTGCATACCATCCTGATGTTAGTTCAGAATCAGCTACAACCTCCACTCGAGGTTATACAGATGGCAACAGATCAGGCAGTGATACAATTCAGAGATCCGATGATGTAACAGTAGACAGTACCATTGCTGGTAAAAGGCGTATCAAGTTTCCAGTTTCTATGGAAAACGATCAAAAGACTGATGATAGTTCTGTTTCCCAACACTTTGTCTCGCAAAAACCGTTGATCGGGTGTCTTTTTCTGGGAAACAAGTACCTCATAGACCTGGTGTTGCATTGAGGATTCTTTCTGAGGATGCTGAAAAGCGGTCTAGATACAGAAAGGTAAAACTTCTGTTCCATGTGGTTGACTTTCTTGCTGGCTTTAGTGTTGTAATTTCCAACATTAGCATTTAAAAGTTGTCTTGAGACTGAGATGTTGACTTGTAGTGAAAATTTACAGCATCCTGAAACTTTTGAAAAGGAGCTAGTGATGACGTCAGATCAAGCATCTATGAAGAATCAGCTGTTGCCTAAAGGATTTGTTTATGTTCCTATTCGATGTCTTTCAAAAGAGAAAGAGACACTTCCAGATGCATGTGCGCAAGAACCATTGGAACATGATGGTTAGGACAATATAATGAAAATTTTGAATACCCTGATTTAGCCACATCCATCTTGGATGTAGTCTTTTGCAAGCTGATTTTACCAGAAGGATGATGGCTTATTAGATGCCCTGATGTGGCCGAAGTGGGTACATTATTGCTGCCAGTCGGTCCTGCTAAGCAAGCTTGGATCGTTGTAAAATCATTCACTGCCCAGACGGGGATGGTGGTTTCTTCCCATTCCTTGTGTCAAGTGCTTAAATTGGTTGGGTTGTTTGTGTGTTTCTTGGCAGAAGGGATTGAAGAAGCTGGAGCTTGTAATTGTTTGTAATGCCTACTCATGGGCTTTGTAAAGTTTGTGTACATATTCTTACCATGTAAACAGTCAAAGCAATGGTGCAACCTCAAGTTAATTAGTGGATTAATTTATTTGTCAAAATGATGGTGTCACACATTTTATTGTTTTTAACTGCAGGTCCACTATCCTTTTAAGAAGAGGCTTAGTCCTTGTGATTGTTCTTGATGGTTGACGTCCTGCTTTACATTTATCTTGGATTTTAGGCTGTGGTAGCTTTAATGGCTGGCATTTAAGTGGGGCTCAGTTTATTTATTTATTTTGTAGATCTCTCTCTCTCTCGCAATAAGAGGGGATCTTCATGGAATATTATTTAAGTTGTTTGAATGCTGACCGTCAAGTGTAAGAGATTTCAAAGCTTTTCTCTTTTCGTAGTGAAAGTGACACGTGTGAGGACGGAACCATCAGTTGCACCTGATCCTGAAGGAGAAATACAAGGATGGGAAATGTAAGTTTTCTCTTTTATGTTAAGTGGTAACGGTCGTCAATTCTTATTTCATTGCTTTAGGATTTTATCTTTTAGTCAGATGGTGGATAAAATTCTAGAACTGTTACTTTTGGTTTGTAGATATTAGAAGATGAAATTTGTTTTTATGTGCACTTTCAATTTGGTCACATTTTTAAGCGTAAATTGGACTCTGAAGGGAATCTCTCCAAGGCCATTCAATTTGTTGTAATTTTTGAACCCTGGCCCTTCCAAGTGGAAAAGCCTGTCTCTCTATTTTTTATGGTCTTATTTCTGTGTTTCATGGTAGTGGTTGATTTGTTTTTAACTCATACCTGTGTTTGGAGCACATGGTCAAAATGATGTTACGGATGTGGTTAGCATGCAGTTGTGCTTTCATTTCGCTCCATCTTGCTATGCTGGTGTTTGCACAAGTAGCTTAATGTATGAAGCGATTGGTTTAATTGACACCATCATATCTAATCCTTCTTGATTTGGAGATTGTAGATTTTGGTAACTCTTTGAAAATTGTTATTTCCATGATCAAGTTAATTTCATATTCTCTACTGGTTCAGTGTTTGGTTGCTTAACTATCTTCTTAGTCACAGGGAAGTACTGAATGATGGGATTTGTCTTCCAGCTATTTAAGAACTCGAATAGGAGGGGCCTGTTTAGAAAGGTCTACTTGTCAAATCTGCAAGAACTGGAACTCCTGAAATGTCCAGATGTACGAGGTTAACTCAAGTTGCAGCTGATGCAGGATTCTCCGTTCTTTGGTAGTTTAGTAGTAAAACTTGCAATTTACGCTGCTTTTAAAGTTCCCATAGAATAATTTTAAGGGTTGAGCAAGTGAACTTGGGTAGTGGTATGTTTTTCTCAATTCCCTAATATTGGATCCAGGTATGCATTACCATCGTTTAATGATGTAATTTCATTGGTTGCTCAAAACTTTATTCCTTCGAGCTTCCCTGTGCAACCAATGTGAGTATGATCTGCCCTCGAATGATTATTGTGACCCGTCCTATCTTTTCTTGGATATAGGAGTTAATGAATACCCAGATGACAAGGGGGGAGGAGTGCAGCTGGCACACAGCCGTGGTATTTTATGGTTTAAGGGTAGACTTGGGGTTCTTGGCCTTGAAAAGCAAATAGAATCAGCATTAATAAAAACTTTCAGGCAGATGATGATGTATATCATTTTTCTTAGACAAACAAAGTGGATGGCTTCTGTGGAAAGGAAAAATAACATCCTTGAAATTTGATTTCTGTGCTTGCTTGAAAAAGAACATTCAGTGAAATTGTTGCAATTATCATTAGCTGATAGAGACATTAGGCAGTTAAATGTAAGATCCTTGGTTCGACTATTAATAAAAAAAAAACGACAGAAATTTAGTTCAATTTTGGCCAAAAACCTTTTCCTCCTGTTTCCATGACGTGTATCTTTTTTTGGGTCAAAATTAAAATTTGAATTTATGAAAGTAGTGTTTCACTTCTAGGATTGAACCTTCTCGTCAGCATTTAACTTTATTAATAGCCTTTCACTCGTGATTTCTCCTCTCTTGACTGAATGACACGGATATATTTGTTCTTAATCCCATATGTGCTTCTGGCCTCTCAAGACAAGCTTTATTAACCACCCCCCCCCCCCCAAAACCCTGCAAAACCCACCACCCACCCTTCCCCGACCCCCTTTTGTTTCTTGTACTTGACAAAAAATTAATTGAAACTAAAATTGCTCCTTGTATTCGAGCTCTTTATCTTATTGAATGGCGTGTAGTTTCTTGTAGTTATGATTGTTAAAATGAAATGAATATGGAAAATAGGGAAACCCTTTGTTCACGTGGATGTTTGTAAATTAATGAGGGATTCCTGAATTTGGAAAGAATCCTAAGTTCTCCAATAATGTAAATGAGCTAGAGAGAACTTGTATTGTGCTCTCTTTTGTGCCGATTAACACTCGTGCTTTCACTTGTGAGGCCAATTAAGCATTTTTGGGTATGTAAGTGGTGTTCAGGGAAAGTTAGTTTTGAGTGGGGAAACAATTGAATGGTGTGTAGTTTCTTGTAGTTATGAATGTTAAAATGAAATGAATATGGAAAATAGGGAACCATTTGTTCATGTAGATGTTTCTTAACTCATGTGGGATTTCTGAATCTGGAAAGGGTCCAAACTTCAACAATGTAAATGAGCTAGCGGAGAACTTGTATTGTGCTTCCTTTTGTGCCGATTGACACTCGTGCTTTCACTTTTGAGGCCGGTTAAGTATTCTTTTGGTATGTAACCGGTGTTCAAGAAAAGTTAATTTTGAGTAGGGGAAAAATATTGTTCTGTAATTGTATGCCGGTTAATTCGTGTACTATTAACAGGAGCAGTAAAGAGTCTTTTGCATATGGATCATTTAATAGCTACAAACAACATGCTAAGAGCTTAACATCCATGTTTATTAGTGGCTTAGTAATTCTAATTAATAAAAGCAGATTTTAACAAGATAATTGGCTAGTGATATTGTCAGAGCATTTATTTTCCAACCATAGCAATTTTTATCAAAATGTCAAAATTACCATTAAGAAGTCAAACACTAAAATTCGACAGAAACCTATCCTGAAACTATGATTTTTCTCTTCTTTAATAATTTAGGAGAGCACTCAAACTTTAAAAGTTCAGCGATGGACAAAATTTTATTACTCAAAACCAACTATGTATGAACTCTTTCTACTTTTTCCTATAATATTTTATTGTAGAAAGGATTATCAAGCATTGAATCAGATTAAAATCATAGACAAATTAAGGCCAAGAACCATGTGCTGTGTCCCTCTCAATATATCCTCAATCTCCACAGATCCAAATTCACCATCATAAAATACCCAGAAAGATAAAACATTACTATCTTCGCACACACACACATATATATTCAATGTCGTCATTCTCCAGCCACCAACAATCAGGATCTTCCAATGCCAAATGATGCACCAGTCCTTTGATCTAGCGTGCTGCCATAATTTCTGCCCTCTTATCAGTGGCCGTGATAATCAGGGTTTGTTTGGACAAAGAAAATTTGCAAGATTTATTTCAGATTTTGTTTTGCTTGCATCATACACACAATTTCCAATCACCTTTTTATCTCACATACATCACATCACAAAAGTACTACAGTAACTGGATCAAATAAATCATCCAAATAAATTCTTATCCAAACAAACTGTGTATTCATTGGCTACATCGCTATCCGACCTATGGTCTCAAATGACTGTTACGAGCGCTCGACTGATTCAACTATGATTAGGCCATGATCATAACTATTAAGATCAAGCCGAAATTCAATTCCATTTCATGATAACCTCCATAAGTCCTCTCCAAACCAACATTGCTTACGCAAAATATTTTTGTTAAAAATGAAATCTGAATGACGTTGTGATAAATAAAATCTGAAGTACCCAAAATCTTTTTAGACCTATAAATGTATACAAAGAGAGTTTCATTAAAGACCATTTCCATATCGACATTGTGGATTCAGTTCTAAGAAACTGGCTAAGAGTTGCACCATATTTGATCAGAAAATTCCAAAGATCAGTAAGAAGAATCTGGTTAAAAATATCGAAATGGAACGAACACCTCAGAAGATTCTTTCCGCATCCACCATGGCTTTAGAACCTTGTGTTTTTGGGGGCAAGAATATTGAATCTCCACAATTGGATAAAGATGCTGACATTGAGACACTTAAGAATAAGGTTAAACAATTGAGGAAGCAGTTACACAAGTCCAAGAGAGGTGAATGCCAGCTGACATACAATACAACTGAGGAGGCCTAAATCTCCGTAGTGCTAGAGCAAGCTTTGGGGCTAGAGGTGCACGAAGGCAAGCATACAGAGGGGACAGAGAGTTTCACCATGACTTTGAAAGATCTACTGGGTTGTCTTGGCGGATGAGGATAACCAACACCATCAGGGAACTACATCAAAACAGATATCTTTGACACTGAATACCTTGCCTGCTATGGCATCTGATGCAGATGTAGCAGCTAAGGCTTGTGACAATCCACTAAGTCGGGACAAAGGTAACGGTGCAATTGTAGAGCAGGGTGCCCACCAAGTGTTTGATGGTTATCCAACAACTGGAAAATCAACACGATAGTCAACTAATCAGCTTGAAAGAGTAGATTTCTCTTAGGCTAAGACTTCTACTCTTGGAACGAATATTAGACAGTGGGCAAACTTATTCAAGTTTGGACCAAATATGCTAAAACAGAAAATGGAGCTGCAATATTTTCAACTGGAATGTAACGAAGGAGAGGTCCTAGTAAACCCTCTAAAAACCATCTTTGAAGAGGTTGATGCACGCTGGAAGGAATGCTTAGTGGGATACTTTATTGATGAAACTCTCCCCTATAGGGTTGTCAATTCTATTTCCCATAGGATTTGGGATAAATTGGGTCTTATAGAGGTGTTAGCCATTGGAAATGGGTTCTTCTTATTCAGGTTTTAAAGTAAAGAAAAATGTATGTAGGTGATGGAGATGGGACCTTAGTTTTTTGCTGAAAGACCATGGATTCTTCAAAAATGGCACTCCAAATTGAAATTGACAAAGGAGAAACATGAAAAGATTCCTGTTTGGGTAAAATTCTATAACATACCAATGCAAATGTGGTTTGCTCAAGGTTTTAGTTATGTTGCCAGTGCAATAGGTAGGCCATTGCATTTTGATTCCATTACTGAAAACTTCAAGAGGGCTTGCCTTTGCTCAGATCTATGTGGAAATAGATGCAGAGCAACCTTTGGTGGCTCTTTTGAGCTTAAAATTAATGAAGTCAATTTGTTAAAATCCGAGCTGAATATCAGCGGAAGCCTATGCAATGCAACTCCTGCAAAACTTTTGGTCACTCGTTTCCCCAATGTAGAGACTTCTAGGATCACTAGAGGAAATCGCATGGAGCATCAACAGAAACAAACCCCTATTTTGATGAGTTCACATTCTAAGGATATGGAAAAGAGTCAAAATTCAAGTGCAACTTCAGCCGATGCTATGTTGTCTGAATTGGTTGTCCATAAAATTGTTGATGGGACTGCGATGTCTTTTTATACTAAAGTTCCTAAAGTAGAGTTGGATGAACATGACATAGCTGTTGAACCGCAACAAAATCAACCAAGGATTCTTCATATGATAATTCCATTATGGAGCTAAATGCTGTTGATGTGGAAGTTATCGAGGAACTTGAAATGTTTTGTGCTGATTCGGATGAGATCATAGCTAACTTCAAGAAGAGAAATGCAAAGAAGAAGAAGAAGAAAAATAAGCATTCGCCAGAAGATGGTGCAGGGGACATCCCCTGCCAAGGCTAATCAATATTAAACCTTATCCCAACTTTTTGTCTATGTATATTGGATGCTAGAATGTTAGAGGATTGAATAAATCTATCAAACAAAAGAAAGTTAGGCCTTTTTTTGGAAGATAATAATATTAGGTTAGGAGCCTTTTTGGAAATAAAAGTGAAAGTTGTGAATAAAGATAAGATCTCAATGGCAATTGCTCCCTCTTGGAGGTATCTTTATAACTACAGTTGGTCTTCTCTTGGAAAATTTGGGTGTATTGGGACCCAAACTTTTTGAATGTCTTTTGTATT